AACAGTGTTGACAAGAAGAAGAAAGGACAAAGGATGATGTTGCTGGTGTCTATGGTGAACAAGGAGTTAGAGGACCATGAGTTAGAGGACAATGAGGAGGAAGAGGTGGAGGAAAAGGACAAATAGGAGGAGGAAGAGCAGGAGATTCCCTTCACCCGGAGGAAATCCAATTGAATCAAGGCAAGGCAARGCAAGCAGCTGAAGCAAAAAAACAACAAGCTGCTTTGTTGAGTGAAAGATCAAAACATCCAAGATCAAAAAAGATGAAGAACTGATTAAGCAGGCAATRCACCTTGGAACCAATATTTGAAAAGCATACAAGGAAGAAGGGAAGCTGGATAAGCTTGGAAGGGCTACTCGTGCCCTTGAGAGAACACTACAWAGACCAACAAGTAAAGTTCATACTACTACTASTAGTAAGAATGATGGAATTGCTAGTAGTCATGTCCTTGAGAGAAGAGGAACAGAACATAGCTTGTGGATGATGACCAGGCAGCATTCCTTGCCCACTAAGAGAAAGATGCAGGAAGAAGCAAAGAACAAACAACCTGTGGCAAAGGAATGACCAGATGAGAAAGAGACTGGAATCAAGAACAAGAGCAAAAGGCAGAAAGAAGCAAATAGCTAACAAACAACCTGTKGTGAAGGAACCACCAGATGAGAAAGAGACTGKAATCGAGAACAAGAGCAAAAGAAGAATGGTATCTTCAAGGCCAACTTCAGTGAACTGTGTGAAGGATCATAATTTTAGACACAATTGTTTTGACTAGTAGTTTGAATAGTACAAGTAGACTGAAAGATTTTYGATAATTCTGATGCTGATCTATGTAATTAGCCAATCATATTGCTTGATTTGTACCAAATTGTAGTTTTATCCCTAACTCYAAATTAATGCCAAAATCRATCTTAAATGACACAATGAAAACCAGTGATGCATGACTGAACAGCTGTTTGTAGAAAATAGAATAATCATGGAAGTCGAAAMATCAAAAAAGACTAAAATAGTTTTGACTGTAATTGGTTCTCGAAGAGGAAGGGGGGTCTGGGGGTTGGATTTTCAAGAAACTTTCCGGAGCAATCTTTTTACTAGTGTTAGAGCCAGTAGGGTTGTAAATAAGAAACATTGTAAAACAATAGAATTACAGGAATGAGATGCCAGCAGCTTAAATGCTGATGRCATGCGACTAAATTGAAAATACAGTGCTGACACATTCAACTTCCACTGCCACCAAAGCAGACCAATCTTCAGAAAATMAGCTCACGATTGAAAATTGAAAAGCTTCACGGTTGGCTGAAGGGACTGCAAAGACTGTTGATTATTTTYGGTGTTACAGAATTGCAGGTAGCATGAGAAAGAGTTGGGTTTTACTGCTTTTAGTACCCCAAGTACTTGCCGGTACTCGTACTGGTTAGCGTCAACTACTAMGCATAAMATAACAATTGAAACTACGTTAATGGAGGCATTGGGAACRTTATTTTAACATTCCGAATGTTTGATTTAACGTAAGGAATGTTAAKTAAATGTACGGAATGTTAAATTTTTCACGTAGGCTTACGTAGATCCTAGTATTATCCACATTCTTCATTCAGTCTTGCACGTGCCTAAAATAGGAAGARGGGATCTTAAAAAGAGGAAGAAGAGGACSCCTCCCCTGCTAATATTCAGACTGTTAAGCAAAGCATTCAGGACGTTAAATTGAAACAAAAAAYGCAGTACTCATTTCTATGCAGCCKAMGCTGGTAACATTTGGAATGTTAAATTAMCGTTCCCAATGCCTCCATTAACGTAGTTTCAATTGTTATTTTACGCSTAGTATATTTGCGTGAGTCACCTTGTAYCGGTACTGAACTTCGTAGAGCTSTTTTCATGCAGACAKAGACCCTCRTTGCTCGTAGGACATATCTCACAATCAAGACAATACGAATTGTAAGATGCATAAGTTATTTCGGCAGTCTTTCCTTCGTTTGAAAGAAATATTTGCCACAACGGAGAACGGAGTACGATTTCTGACCACCTTCTTCAAAGCCATGTATATCAATCATATGGATCACATTGCTGCAAGACACCTTGGTTCTCTGTGAAGGCCATTCCACACCGCGGACGATAGCTTACAAGGGATCCCAATCTCCCGAAACCTCCCGCCCCRTACACAACGCAGTTTGAGTAACTCATGAGGAACAAGTCGACGAAAATCGAGTAAAAGGTGGAAAGATGGTCCGGTTTGGCGAAATTCAAATGAGGTGGATCTTCCGCCAGGGCTATGGTGTTTTTTGTTTTTATCTGTCCAATGCCATCGCTGGCTGCTATGTTGTAGTCTGTATCATACGACTGGAGATCCAAGTACGTCCACACATTCAAGGAAKCCTTCTCATGATCACCATCTTTTGATCCGCTATCGTTCAGACTGACGTAAGCTTCTCGAGCGGCCTCAACTACCAGGGCTGGTTAACAGACGTATGGTTGATTTTGTTTGTTCAAAGATAGGAAGAGGAAATGAGACGATCGAATTCTTTCGTACCATCCGCAATATCAATGCTTGCATCCTAGARGTACTCCTACKAAATCGTTGCAATATGTTCACTCACCGGTATCCGAAGCCATGTACACAGCCGATACTCTTTCACTAGCTACTGAGGAAGAATGCCTGTTGTTTTGAGAATTGTCTTGCGTTCTTGAATGCCCAACGCGTGTTTTTGCACACTCCACAGCGTGAATCGTTGTTTCTCGCAATACCGTTCGGTTCTGAGTTTCTCGAAAGGGTTCTCCCGGATATTTTGCGCGATAATGTGCCACGGCATATTGATTTCGTTGCAATGGAATCGGCAACCATGACTTTGACGCCAACGAAAAGAGTGCATCGTCTCCTGTCTCCTCTAATGTCTTGTTGCCTATGCCATTGTTGTCGTCGACAGTGTAGTCTGCTCTATTATAAAAGTACGCATCCAGATGCTTACTCACGCTTGAGGAAGGACGAAAGGTAGCATGGAACAAATCGTGGTAGAAATTTTTATAGTCAACATCTCTCGGTTGAAGCTTTGAGGCAGAAAACAAGTCGCTAGTATGAGGTGAACGATTGTTCTCTGATGACAACGAGGACTCTCCCTTCAAAGCTTCACTGAGGGCCCTTTGGTACAGATACTGTCCACCACTATATTCGTTGCCTTCTACCATCCAAATGCTTTGGTCACTGATGCGATTCATGTTCTTTCTACCTGATTTATTTCCTGACTCGAAGTACAATCGGGTAAATCTCCCACGGCTATTACCATTGTTGTTGTCGTTCTCATCAAGCATTTTTATTTTGCGCATCAGCGCATCCGGAACGGTCCAATTCCAGAAATTTCCAGGTTTCATAAATGTTTCAATTGGTGCCGGCCTGTCACTTCCCCATCGGATAAATAGAATTCTATTGGTCGTGGCGGCGTACCAAATAAACAGCGGGAAGGCTTTCAAGCGATCCGATAGTCCGCCGCATCGATCATTCCCGGCACAACGCAGAACCAAAAATCGATAGTTTTCCAAAAAGTCATGGTCATCTGCACGGATACCATTTTCTGCCACTTTTTCTTCGTCATCATGMATTTGCTCCAATTGCCTTCTATGCCATTTGAAATAATTCGTCATGAAGGAAGGAATATTTTTTGGGTTGATCAATTGTTCGGCAGGAGGAATCGATTGACTGTAAGTCACTCGAGGATGACTGATTGTGGTATTGCCAAGGATACTATCGTCCCCATGGTATTTTCTCAGAGTGGAGGTATCGCGAACGATAGAAAGCATGGACAAGACGGCCACAAAAACAACCATCGCCATCATTTTGAAGTTGGATTGGCTCCTCTCGGCCATAGTTGCAGGTTTGTGGTTGACCCTGTCTTGCGAAATGGTGTCCTCTCAAACTCTTCGCTGGACCGCAGATTGGTCGCTCGGCAAAATCGAGAAAGCGCAATRCAGCATTCTTGTATGTGGTAATGACTGGCTTGATGTAGATGTTATGGACAGCAATGTTAACTRATGTGTCTTCATGAGTTTTAAGTTGGTTTGCTTTTTCTGGACTTTTTGGACAACGACCTCTCCTCTAGTTCTCTGAACGGTACGGTACCAGGTACGGTGCAGTAAGGAGGAAAAACCCTACCGTGTGTTACAAAATCTGGATAGGTTATGATTATGAATACAGAAGGGATTAAAAAAAAATCTTAGTATTATATTTTACCTCGTGAACTAGAAGAGGCACTATATGGCCAGAACCATAGCTTTCGTTAGAAAGAATGCTTCTAGCTGCTCCGAGGGGCGGCACTTCCCTCCGAGGAGTTTTGATGGAAGTGCAACCAATATGAATACAGAAGGGATACAGTATGTTATATAACTGTGGAGGAGCTCGCGCAGCGCGTGTACCCAAATCGTACCAGAAAATGTACTCTGTTGAGGTCCGTGTTATTTGTGTGGGAAGAGTTTTGTACTGTGCGCT